AAGAAATATAATATAAATAAGAAATTAAAGATATATAAGATATATAAGATATATAAGAAATTATAGATCGCTAAGATTAGAGAAATGATAGAAATCATAGAAATTAGAGAAAGTTGAGATCCAAGATACGGGATCATCATTCGCTAATTGTAATTGGCGCAGTACTAAGCGTCATAACTAGTCTATCACTAACAGAGTCAAACTCCATCATTGCAAAATAAAAAATACACAATTTCTTTGTTAATTCTCTTTGTAATATAGCACCTTTTCCGCTTCTTCCGGAAATTGTCTAGCCCAAGTATTGTCGAGGTCATGCCAATCATTCGAAAATGGTATATGAAGAGGCAATTATAAACAAAGGGAATTGCAATTGCCTTGACTTTATTATCACAGCAGCAAAATCGGAACTTGAAGAACCTTCCTTAGCATGTCCAGGAAAAAGGTTATTAAGCTCCCAGACTGGTTCAAATCGAATATGATAAAATCCTTGACCACATCTGAATTTTAATATGAGCTTCTGATGTATGGCCACCAAGCCCTCGACATTGGAGTGGTTGTAAAAAAGTATTAACATGATCACTGAAAGTGCTGTATGAGTATCAATGATATAATAGTAACCATTTTGATTTATTTAAGCCAAACCACTCTTGATACCAAGCAGCCGTCATTCCAATTTTTAAAAGCAGTGCATACAGAATATTGACGGCTTGCAGATCAGAATTCTCCTTGCATATTATTTTGAGGTTATGAAATGGAGAGCAGGTCTCGAAATAGATGGTGGAGTTCTAGGTAACTTTAAAAGCTTGCCGTCTACAACCAACCACTTTAAAAGTATAGAGAGATGCCTATCCAATTGAGAGATCTCATCAATGTAGGCTTTCTTGCATTACCTTGAGACTTTGACAGTATCATCGTTAACATACAATCAACGTTCAGATCTAATTTTTCGCGTTTTATCAGTGTTGGCATATTCTGGAATCTGAAAACAGTTTCCAGTACTCCAATGGATTGTTCACTGGAATACAATTGGAATACTGGAATATTGGAATTTGATTTGGAATACCGGAATATAAAAAAATTATTATGGAATGAACAAATACAAATAATAAATTAAATATACATTGATCTAATTGTTTTTTCAAAATATTATCTGTTCAAAGTTCAGCTGTTTTCTGTTTTCTTGTTTCTACGATTTCATCAACATTCCGATGTTCCAGTGATCCAAAGTGGGAAATTCCATAATTATCACGTCCAACTTCGTAAAGCCCGGCAACCGCCAAAGTTTTTGCAGTCACCTTCGATAAGGACTAAAGTACAGTACTTATCATTTCTACCGCCAGACTTGTTTGCATCTTCCAATTTCGTGATCCCAGAGATCCTATTAAAAAATATATCGGAAACTAATTAATAATTTTTTTTTATCAATTTTCCCCTCCCACCGACAATTTTTTACTTTTTACTCACTAGTTTTTCCATCTGTCTTCTTTAATTCTTTATTTCGTTTATCTTTAACTTCATCCTGATTATGATCAACGATACCACATTTGAGAACTAATAAATAGGAGAAAAACCAAAGGGTCACACATTTAAAAAATGTTTTTACAAGCATAAAACAAAGTAATATGATTTTTTATAAATAGTACAATTAATTTCATTTATTAAAGAAAGCGTCACTTCGATCGCATGTAGATCCCAAATGATGTGACTTTTAATGTAAGATTTTCTTTCGTCTGGGGAATCGAAGGATGGATTTTCAATCAAACAGTTGAAATGATTTTTGATTTGATTCTTTTTTATGTTTGCGTCTTCCTTCTTGATTTTGGCCGATGTCAAGATTCCTTTCAGCAAGTTGACCTGCGATGTAGTTAATACAGTACATATATGTTAACGAAGCTTGTATATTATTTTTAAATGAAAAGTACATGAATGATGTTAAAAACAATTTCATGCAAGATCAAAGAAAAAAAAAACTTACATGATGGAATTGAGAATCAATAGAGGGAAGGACTCAAATTTTCCATCGTTCACCACATTTATCATATATTAATGAAGATTTTAAGTCTTAGCATGTATTTTTTAAAATTATTGATGTTTTTAAGAGAGCAATTTTGTCATCATCAAGCCGACTCATTTTGAACTTTTGAAATCCGACTTAAATTTAACCAAAGTATAATCGTCTTTAGAATAAGCGGTGATAATTGGTTGTTCGATTTCTGAAAGTATAGGATATTCTTGCGATTTAAAGATGTTTCCAAAATGAACTACGTATTGCAGATGGTCGCTAATTGAACGCCGAAACCATTACGGCCCCAGTTCCAGGAAAATTTTAAAATATTTTCAAAATTGAATTAGAAAAATCATATGATAGTTAGGAGCTGGATTTAGATGTGTTGTGGTGGAGTAGGTATTTCAATTGTAATGGTAGTGGTGGTATGATGGTGGTTGTGTAGTGGTCCCTTGTTCCATTGGTTATTCCAATGGTATTCCGATATTCTGGAATCCAATTCCAGTGAAATTTTCACTGGAAACCAGAATTTCCCATCACTGCGTTTTTTCTATTTAAAAAACAAATATATAAAGGAGAAAGAAAAAAAAAATAAAAATAAAAAAAGAGAAGAAAAAAAAAAGAAAAAAGAGAAAATGCATGTGAAAATGCTAAGTCAGTACTTTCTCCTGCACGTCGCAGAAACTTGAAGTCCGGACGCTATTCTTCCCCATACATGCTGTATGAAGCGTAACAGCTCAACTAGTACAGCGTATTGCGGAAACTTGAAGTCCGAATACTATCCTTCCCTCGTACACGCAGCACAAAGACCTTTAGACTCTTGAGGAGAATAGCAATTTTCTTTCCTGGAAGGGTAAGTTATTTTCTTGGCTCTGGCGTAATAAAATCATAGGGCGTTGTTTGAGATGTATAAGAAAAAAAGTTAATTTATCAGCAAACTTCGTGATATATAATAGGACGACTTTCACTTTATTTGCCGAATTGAATTTAATTTAACAAAGATTTGAAAATCTCGATATGATTGCACGACTAAAAAAATAATAGAATAGAAATTTGTAGATTATATATCATGATAAAGGTATTTCGCAAAATCTATCAGAACGGACTCAGTAGCGAATTAATAAAACTTAATATAATTACCGATCATCCATAATTTGTACAGAATCAAGTGTAAGTTTCCGGATACCATTTATTTCTGGGTGATGTTAAGTTTGTTTAATTTGCTAATAAAGTCCCTTCACTCCTTCATATAGGACATTCGTAAAGGTCCAACATATAATTAGCTATTCATGTCAGTCTTCTCTTCAAACATTTGTCCAACTCATTTACTATATTTTATTAAATATTCTATTTTTCTTATTATGATGTGGCTAAAGTACTCGTAACGCGGTTTCTACATTTAATTTATAAAAAGTCTTTCATATACATCTCTTTTGGTAAAATAGTAATAGCACTTGTTTCTTTATTCATCATAGTTGAAACTACAAAGCTATACAATATGAGAATTTTAAAAGGATTAAAAAATGAAATCCTTATTTTTCTAACTATAATTTGGGTTAAAATCACCTTTACGGAAGGTAAGGTAGCCGATCACCCATTTGTGAAACAATATCAATATATATATATATCACAATAATTCAAAAAAAGATTTTCCCACGATTCGATTCTTTCTTAACCCATTCAAAAAAAAAAAAAAAATTTACTCGCTAGTAGTTAGTTAATTACAGATAAATTAAGATATAAGTGACGGCAACTCTTTTAGAGCGGAACGACATTATTCTTAATTTGATATGAACTAATAAACACCCGCCCCAAGTCGTGTTCGTCTTCCGCCGCTAGTAACCCATTCTTCGGAGTGGTTAGGCACTTTAGCGGGCCACTTGGGTGTCCCCCGGAATGGGGCGACTGGGTGCTGGAACTCCCCTTACCCATATCACTCTTAGGAGTTTAAATCAGTTTTTCCCTCAGTTCCGCTGTTTTAGTTCATATTCTCGCTTATTACACCATAAATAATTAATAAACATTAGCTTAGTTCATTTAATTTAGTCAAATTTACTTTCGGGAGATCAAAAGATTGTTTTGTTGTGGTTTTTTTTATAAATATTCTCATTGACTAATTTTTTTTTTTAATTTTCAATATCCTTACAGTATTTGTCAAGCAGTAAAATCCAAAGGCTTGTTTTATTATGGTAAGTTTTCTTGTAATTATTTTTTTGAAGATCATCAAAACAAATTTAATGACGCAATTTCAAAAGAACGATCTTGGAGTCGGAATCCTACACAAGCGGAAGTAAGGCTTATTGAAATTTTAGGTGAAAGACGTAAGTTAATTAAAGGAACATTGCTTTCTGATGATAAAAACCAAATCCAGTTGAATTTATTTTATCACTGTAGAGGATTCTTTGACGGATCGATGTCGATGTCGAGGTCGAGTTGGATGGAGAATTAATTTTGGGACGGGTACCTTTTGGACGGATAATTTAGGAGGAAATTTATTTATGTTGTTAAATATAAAGTTAATAAATCAAACTTTTGAATTTCTTATGTTTCTAGATTTTATTTGATTGATTTTTGACATTTTATTAAAATTTATCCGAATATATCTGTACACTTGAACGCAGCCAATTAATAAATTAATTTCGCTATAATTTTTTACAATAGAATTAAAAACACCTTTTCGTTCCCGCTTTTATGAGTTTTAAAATCATTAAATTTTACAGTTTTATCAGATATTTGATATTACTTTACTGTAAATATAACATAAAAAAATATATATTATTTTTTTAATTAATTCATTTACAAAGTACGTGGAAAATTTTCGTTATGCTTTGTCATCATAAAATCATAAAATGTGAAACACATCACGTAATAAGTCTAAATTTTGAGAATCGAACGAATTTATAATTTTTGTTATTCTTATCAAAAAAAAAAGAACAAGAAAAAGGAAAAAAGAAGTCAAAGTTCGGTAAAACCTTGGTTGGTTTTAACCAGGTTTTTTTTTTTTTTGAAAAAAATTAAACGTCACGTCAAATGTCATCTCATCAACCGGCACAATTCTTGGATAAATTTTAGCCAAAGATCGAAAGATAAGCGAATTAATACGAGAACATTCTGCAGGCGAGGTAGTAAATTTTTAATACTTGCTAAATTAAGTAATAATAAATAAGTATATTATATATAAAGAACTTCTTACATCATCATTTTTTTTTTCATTATAAAAGAATCAGTAAAGCTTCCAAACTCTCAAGCTTATTTCTTATTCCCTTTACCCTCGTATTCTCTCCATTCTATATTTGCTAAACTTTTGAAGTATTACCTCAAATTATCTTTACGAGACTCTTACTGACAGAACCGTGCAGTTTAAACTCTTTTCGCTTTTAAAATTTTTATAAACGCGCTCTTCCAACGTTTTGACAAGGTATTTGTTTGTAATATTAGTTGTCCTTCATTCTCGTAAAATATTTTTTGATCTACTGGTTCGATACCCAGTGCTAAAACCTATTCATCTTTACGAGATCGTTCCTTTAATACATTGTCTGTCTCCCAACCGTCCTCGTTCGATAATACTTAGATTTTAAATCTATAATTTTTTTTTTTACTTATTATTTATCATCGTAATAGGCAGGTAGTCAGCAGCAGATAATGAATTCTTAATATATTTTTTTCGCGGTGCTTAGTGACGGATACCCGTAGTTTGGACAATTATTTTGGGAAATATCTTTTTTTATTTTTATTATTATTTAATACTTTTTTAACGATGTCTAGGCGGGTAATAAAGGGCCATTGCATGCATGGGTTAAACAATGTTCTCCCCTTTATTTCTGTCTGTCCGGTCCAATTTCATTAACTGCTTTTGTCTAAGAATGTTGTTAGTTAAAGGTTTTAGCTTTAAAAGGAGAAGCATTTTCTGGTGGTATCCATAGTATTAAACTAAGAGCGACGGTTTAGTATTTGGATACAGACGCTCCCTAGGATTTGCCTATCCATCCTCTTAGAAGTGTTTGCCTTACACGTGATGGTTTCCTTCGAGTAGTTGGTCTCTTTTCACACGCCTTTCTTTGAGGAAGCACAAAACCTTTGAACACCCATTTTTGATATTAGTGGTTTTTATTTTATTGTAAGATTCTCGTATTTTTTCTCTTTCCGATATTTTCCTCTAATCTCTTTTTACTTTCATTATATCTACAGGTTCCAAAGTTCTGATAAAGAGAGAATTTATTACATTTGACGTTTACTTGATGTCAAAAAGAACGCCTTCGAATTGTCATCAAAAAAAAATAATTTTTTTGCATCACAAAATATAAACCGCAATTATCTTATAATTCCGATAAGCGCTAGACTCATTTATTTTTTTTAATATTTTTAATTCGATGTACTTAAAGTAATAATTCAGAAAACCAAAATTGGGTTATTTAATTGTTAAGAATAAAAAGTTCAATAAAATACATCATAACTTAACAACGATCCTTAGTATATTTACCTCGACGCGATGTAATTAAAGTGTTAAATACGTACTTATGACATATTTAACACTTAAAGGTCTGTTTAAGTATTGAAAATTTCCATATCTATGCGTGTCATGAGATCGATTATCCGCCTATGTCTTATTATATAATTACAACATTTTTTGAAGCACCCTAATGACTTTTATTAGCTGAACTAACCAAAACAGTTAAATTCTTGATCTTCGGAAGTTTAATATTAAAAATTTCATTGTATTGTTCCATTAGGAAAAAATAAAATAAATTCGCAAATTTTATTGGCTCATATCATATCCATGATTTTTTTACTTGTTGACCATATTATGATGTGAAAAAAAAAAAAATATCATACATGTACATAGCATAATTTTTTAAATAAATTTAAAAAGTATTATTTATTAAAATTCTTTAAAACCTTTTTGCGTTAATTTGTATTCGCGTTCTAATGAAATACTTTTTTTAAAAAAAGAATTCTGTTGAACATAGCAAGCAAGTATTAAAATTATTATGTATGCTTATTCAGAACAAAGAATCAATGTGATCCTGAACGGTTTCATTACGTTTTAATTGCTTCATCTTACTCTTGATTAAAAAAAAATTTCAAGGAAATGTTTCAAGGTACTCTTTAGATCAAAAATGTCATTTAGAGAATGAAATTAAATTCTTTTAAATACTAAATAAGTTAATCAAAAATTTGTCTTGGTTTGAAAACGTTCACTTATATAAAGGCAACGATTTCAATCCTCTCTGATCCATATTCAAAAGATCAAGCATCTTAATATACAATAAAATCTTAATCAAAGAAACAAAAAAAAAAAAAAAAAAAAAAACCAAAATAAAATTCCCAAAAAAAATCGAAATCATGAAACAATTTTTGGCTTTCTTGCTCATTTTATTTATTACACTTTCATCAGTCCAATCTATTCCCAATCAATTTCAAAAAAGACAAGCACCAAAGTTTACTGAATGTAAAGGAAAATTTCCGGAAAAATTTAACGTTAAACTCTCACCTTTACCTCTCGCTTTTGGAAAAACCGAGACCGTTACAGTCTCTGGAAAGTTAAAGAAATTTATCTCTGATGGTACCACGTTACGCCTTGGAATTAGTAATGGTGATGGGGATGCCATCTTTAGCGAAAGTGCGGATTTTTGTGCTGTACAAGGAAGTCCTTGTCCCGCTGGACCTGGTACAAAGTTTAATACGCCGGTAAAATTTAATTTACGAAATAACAATACACCTGGACCATTTAAGGTTTTGGTTCGTCTTGAAATTGGTGATGAAATTTTGGCCTGTTCTCATGGAACCGTTGAAAAATAAATCATCGGGATTTTCCTATTCTCATTTTTATTTGTTTATTTAATTTATTTTAATTTCATAAATTATTTAGAATATTAATTTTTAGTATATATTTTCGATTTTTTTGTTCCTGAGAAAAATTTATCATTTCTAATTTAATAAATTTGGTTAACACGTTTTTTTAATTCTCAAAAAGTAAAAATAAAGGTTTATTTTTAAAAAAAGTTCATTTCTTTACGTATATATTTAAATAAATTTGTGAGTAATCCAATCATGTTCGATGTCGAGAAAAATATTAATTAATATTTGTCAACCTTTTTTAGAGGAGGTTATTCCGATTATGGACTGGCTTTATAAGATAATGTAGTGAATTTTGATCTGCTTATCAAAAAAATGTAGTTTCTAAGCCACATAAGACAACTTTTTTTTTAAGCGTATTTTGATGGGCGCCCCTCATAAAATCATTAATTTTTTTTGAGTAATTCTATTTTTTTAGATTTTAGAAATTTATGAGACAATTTAAACAAATTTAAAATATAAATAAAAGGAACACTAGAAAATTTAATTAATTTCATGTGATAATTTTATTTTTTTGGAGTTGGGGGTTTTTTTTAATATCATTCAAAAAAATACACCGAAAATTAAAGTTCCGATTACAACCCAACAAACCAAACCAGTAACACTATATACAATCGCATTTTCAAATTTTTTCTTTTGCCCATCTATTTTACTAACAGTATTTGTTACTCCTCTATCATCAACTTCATATAACCAGGTTAGTATTGCTGTTAATACATAATATCCATCCAATTGATATACTGGTAATATATTTAATATACATAATGCAAGTGAAAATGATGTCGTATACCTAAAACATATAAACTTTTTTTAAAAAAGAAATAATAATGTAAAATCAAGGACCTTAAAATAAATATAACTTTGTACCTTAAAATTAATTCCAAAACGAGTGGTATCTCAAGAGGAATCCATGAATATCTTGGTTGAAGAATGCTGACTTGTATTATTTCCCATAAATCATCTAACTCTCCAATCCATAATAAAACTTGTTCCTTATTCTCGTCTTGATTTATTGTCCATGGAGATCGTTCAAAATATATCCTTACAAGTCGAGGGAACCCTAAACATGTATATGGTAATACACACATAGGTGAAGGATTATCACAATCAGATTTCTTTACACACCTCTGTTCTTCCGTATTAACTAATATTGGTTTTGCATGAAGACAACTCAATTCCTTAATTTTTTTTAATTTTTATATTTTAAAAAAAGAGTTAACATATTTTACCTCAATAAAATAGTATGCAAAGGACTAATTCTTACCTGATCATGTGAATCTTTTCGATCATATCGCTTAAAACACAAGATTTCTCGGTTTTCACAACTTCCATAAGGATGATCTGCATTAATCTTACAACATTCTAAAGATGGCATAATATCCTTTTCTGATGCGCAAAACCCACGAATATTTTTTCTCACTTTATTATTTTGTAATAAATAGGTACTCCATCGTTCCAATGACGCATCATTCAATTCATAATCATCTATTTTTGTTATTAACGTTGAAGGGTATAATATTTCAGCTAAACCCGTATTCTATTTTTTTATATTTATATATTAATTAAAAAACTAATTCATACAAATTAAAAACATGAAGAAAAAAAAAAATCTTTTTCCTTACCTCTTCAACGCTAATAACGCTAACTCCGGTTCCTTCTACAGATCTATATCCGGTGAGACTCATGGACCATCTAATTATTCCATAATTCAATATAAGTGAACCCAATAAAAATATCACAGCATTGTGCCAGATTCCTGCACAAAATATACGAAGCTTTTTTGTCGATGAACATCTATCTAAAAATTGACCGGAAAGGCTAACAAATGCTCCCGGATAAAAGATATATAAAAATATTCCCGAATCATTTATTGGCACAAATTCACTATAAATAAAAGATATCAATTAATCAAAAAATTTTTTTTTTCATTCAAATATATATTTATATACCAGTAAGCCGCAATTGCATGACCAGCCTCATGTAAGACTCCACAAATTAAAAGTGCGATGAGATAATAAATAAGGTGTGAAATTGGTAAAGTCACTCCAGGAATCTTTATAAATTTTTTACATTAGTTAAATATGGATTAGATGTGCTAATAATTAAATACTGTAAATACTCACAACAGGTATAAAAACTTGATGATCCTCATTATTGTTTACATGATGGGATTCTTCATAGTTTCTTTTCACAAATTTCGTTTGTTCGTGAATCTCATTATTCCTGATATTAAATCCAATAATTCCAATTAATAATTTCCATCCTGCTATAATCATAATACAAACTCCAAATATCATTGCTAATATTCCTACTAAAACTCCAAAATTAAACCATACCCTCCAGAATTTTGGCGTACTTTTTGCGAGAGTTTCGAAAAATAGATTCAATTTATTTGTTTTATAACTAAGGTAAAAATAGCTAAGCGTTATTTCTGCTTGTGGTGATGCATGATTTGCAGGATTTGTATTAACAATTGGTAGGTGGCCATTTGCATTATTTGATAATCGAGATATATCATGATGAGTTCTATGCTAAAAATTAAAAAAATATATTACGATATTTTAAATAAAAAAGATTATAAAAAATAAAAACAAATAAAAAAAAAATCTTGTTACCGGTGATTGGAAACTTGATTTTAATATACGATATATAACATGTATAAATGTCCAAAAACTGAGAAATGTTAATAATAAATCTGAAAAAACCATTCTTAAGGGAAATTATATTTCGATTATCCCGGTCTGGTTTAATTTATTTGTAGATCATTTCTTTCTTGGCGATAAAAATTTTTTTAAATGTTCCGAGTTTTACCGTGTTTTTATGACTCGATTGGTAGTCCCGAAATCTAGCCAAAAAAGGCTTAGCGTTAGTTTTTATATACTTATTGATATGTAACAATGTATTTAGTTTTTGTAGGATCTAATTTTGAAAGTTTATTCAAGTATTATAAGGATATACAGTCTCTTTGGAATGATATACAAAAAAGTAAGGAATTTATTAAAAAAAAAATTAATAGAAATATCTTCCCCATTTTTCTCAATTACAAGCCTTCATCAACACAACTAAATTTTTAATAATGTTCCGAGGAATTTTTGACACCAGTATATTTTATGTATTCCGTATCTCAACGTCCCTCTTAACAATTGTCAATAAATATTCTGTGGGTTCAGGTCGGGACTGTTGGAGTGCCAATCCATAGCAGGGCTACACGACTTGTAGGCTTATGATAGTTATCCTGCTAAAGCTGCCAATTTGCCGCAGCATTCTCCTGATCTCATGGAGATGATTTTTATGATTTCAACATAGACTTGCATCTCTCGAAAGCAGTAAATACAGGATTTACCTCAATCACAAAATCCACCCCATGCGTTGATTCTTTCCGGTCCTTTGGAATGCGACGAAATGGCCGCTGACCCTTACACCAATATTTACATAGTATACTAAAATAACCAAAAAGAACGTTTCTTCTGAAAACTGTGCGATTCCGGTCAACATTCATGATTTAGGCTCATTCTATACGTTTCTGTTAATGCAACCTTTGTAAATGCAGAATGCCGCAGAAATTGCAGAATAGATGTTCAAATAATGCAGAATTAGGGTGTTTGGATTTGGACGTATATGATGTCCAATTGGACATATATGAGTTTATATGTCCAATTAAATAAATGTCCAACACTGAGTTAAATAAGTTTTAAATAGTGAATCACGTGAATATTATAATATGGATGCGATAAATTGATAACTGATCTTTTTATTTATATAATCATCCTTTCCCAATTTTTTTTTTATAATGCCATAAAGAAGAGGTCTAAAAAAAATTTACAATTAATACTAGAGTAAAAGAAAACCCGGGTGAATTTCGTGTTAATGGAATAATATTTTGTAATTTTTGTCATCATTCTGTTGACTAGATGCGAAAGTCTAATGTCCATTTTAATAGTTTAACACGCAAAAATAATAATGAAAATATACAACATCGGCATTAGTAAACTCTTACTACTTTACTTCCTTTGCTTCCTCAGAATCAAAAAAAAAATATATATAATTCATGATTTAGCCAGCATGGCGGGCTTTCATTGTGATTGGCTAATTTTACAGATCACTTTTATTATTGCTGAAATTCTATTAATTGATAATATCACGTGATTAAATCAAAAAATAGTAAAAAATAGTTAATCAAAGAACAGTTGAATATGATAAATGATTATTTAACCCCAATAAAAATATAATTTGCAAAATATCAAATTATGTTTATTATATTTAATTAAATCATTGAAATTACGATTCTTCATATTGATGCTTTTGCAATCTACAAAATCTCCTTCAAATTATTTACTTTTTAAGGCATTTATGGCCCTTTCAAAAAGTAGATCTATATTATCTTGATCTATATTTTTATCTAAGAAAAAGACTTCGTTACTAATGTTAGTATCAACATTAGGTTCAGTAACATCCATTTCATCTATACCCTCATCATTTGCCTTTACGCCTGATAAATTCAGAATTTTCTGAAAAGCCTTACAATTTGCTTCGATTCTGCTTATGAGATAAACAATACAATATCAGTATCGGCTCTCTGATTTGAATAAAAAACATTCAAAATAATAAGCATGTTCACAAATCAGAATACAACCTATCTCGCAAAAATCTATACAGCCCTCTAAGTTATAGTATCTATCTTTTCGTGAAAGATATGCTGTATTCCAAGCTATCAGCAATATTTTTACGTCAACTTGAGCTTCAAGTGTCAGAAGTTCATATATCTTGGGTTTCAAATATGCGTCAGACAAAATAACCTTTAACCTATCAAGATTCTGATAGACATTTGTTAAGATGTTTAAAAGGAAAAGTGCAGTATGCTTTTTAATGTATTTCAAGTGTTTTGTTATATATCTGATATTATGATTCTCAGCAAATATATCCATAAAAGTATTGCCAATACACATCTGATCTACTATATGTGCTTCTCAAATAATCTGCTCCACTGTGTTTAATTTCTGTATTTACTGTCAAAGTGAGCTGTAAAAGTACTCCATAAAATAATCGTTAAAAACATGAAGAGAATCTGTAAGAGATTGTGAAATGGGATGATTAGTACTAGTCCAATAAAAAACATCACTCAAAAACGTTAATGGCAATTTGTTATAGTGTCTGCGTTAATATTAATAAAAATCAGTCCAAATGCGAAACATCGCTTCTATGTATGCTTGCCAATTTCTGCTATAAAATATAATGGGATAAAAATCTAGAACTAACAGAATGATGTTATCTAGCAAATTAATAGGATATCTGGTTTCCGGATCTTTAAAATGTTCAAATTTCTGAATACTTATAGAACACACTCGAGACCAGTCTTGGGACGTTAGTTCTAACATCAAATTGATCTTATAAGGTTTTGGCTTTTTCGCCAACATCTTATTACATCAAACACCCCATGAAAGAGTAAGTCAAAAAACTGATAATTTAGAAGAAATACTGTCTCACAACTATTTAAGAATATATGCAAAGGTCCAACTTTTAAAACGATATGCAGAATTTGCTTCAGTAATCCAGAAGAATCTCCAGATTTGATGCGATTAGTGATAACACGCCATACGTGAAGTTATTCAGGATAGTCCATAGGTGTCACTAATACTTGTGTCTCTATATAAGTTCTTATTTTAGATATACTCATCAAATATTTAAGAGCATTCACATAATCTTCGGTCGAATGAAAAAATCTTTCTTTTAAATCAACAAGTTTTGTGTTTTCTATGCTTTGATCAGTCTGATATTATTTAATTCTATTATCATATCTGTGAATTAAGAGACATTCGACTTGTTCATCATGGGTTTCTGTCGTGAACACTAAATCAATAAATGTTTGCTTTCATCCTGCATAACTAAGCCATAAAAAAAGAAAGAAGATTTCATAGCATTTTGTATAATGATAGTTGCATCAATACCCTTTCGTTATGAATACTTTTTTCTTGGTTAGGATTATAAAATGGGATAGATGCTATTTCTGGCAAAGCTTTTAAAAGAATTGTAATAAAATGAGAAACTTCATATGTAGTTGTTGTATCACTTTGATGGTATTCGTGAATGTTATGAAAATTTTCCACATTAAGAACAACCAAGCTCCTGATCTGTGAAAAGATTTACATATATTAGTTAATTATTTATGAATAGTAAGACTTATAAAAATATTCATATAATTACATTCTCTAATAAAAACCTCTCCACCGTCATTGTATATGCTTCTGCATGCTGGACTTTCTGACTTGCAATAAGTTCACACCTTACCGTATAACCTGCACCAGCTAAGGTTTCTATTGCTAATGAGAATACTTCAGATGCATCTAGCAAAAGCCCAACTTCTGCTTTAATCCCATCAATAAATTTATTATTAAGTCCCACTAGGAAATAACAAAATGAACCCAGTCTTTTTTTATTCTTCTCATTAGTCATTTGACTTTTAGCTTGTAGGTTAGTTCTAGCTACTGGTTGACCAAAAAAACCTTTCACCAATAGTTTGGCTTTCTCAAGAATTTTTCTGAAATCTTCTGGATCAAGAATGGATCTTTCATATGCACACGCTACCTTGTATACAACACCCCTACCATTAGTATAATTTTTTTGCTGAAAGGGATTAATTCTAAAATATTTGATTATATAAGTAAATGATCTGAAACTGAAATACATTACAAACAAGAAATTATTTACTTACCTAGCTTCGCTTCATCAAGCTCTATGCATATATCATTATATGAAACTTCCAGCTTCTGAAATTCAGACTCAGAGTAAATAACATCACTTCGTAATACATATGACTTACCTTGAAATTTTCTTATATTCTCCTTCGGAATCCTTTCTGGTGCTGGTGGATAATTGGGCAAATTAGTATATTCTGGATCAGTTCAGTTTTATATAAGCAATGATAATACATTATTGCTCCTTGTAGTAACTCAAAGTATTTGGGGTAAGTGCTGGAAAAATAGACCAAATTGATTTTTTTTTAAAAAAAAAGTTTTTAAGTAAAATAGATGTAGATTTGGTCATCTGATTCAGATCATTTGTTATTTCAAAAAAAAATTTTTTGTTGATTTCGTCTCTTTTCAGCACTCATCCCATTTAGTTAATCGCTCTGAAATCTTCTTAATATTCTTAGTTTTCATACCGTATTGAGCTATAGAAATATAGAACCCATATTTTGGATGTAAACATTTATTGTTAACTTTAGATTTTTTAGCATTTACTATTAATTTGCCAACCAAATCCAGATGTTGACTTGAACTTGGTATATTATTTTCTCAGATACAATAGATGCGCTGTGCTTTTCATAATCACAAATGATGCCCTCCTGGCCTTTCAAATCACAATGTTGAATCTTTCTTTTTCCCTTTTCTTGTCAGAAAGTGCTGGATCTTCGTAATGGGCTTCTTGCTTAAACATTTTGCTTTATATTCTTTTTTAATAAAAATGCTAGAATAAAATAAACTCTTATTAGCTAGTTTTCGAATTAACTCACTATAAACTGAATTACTTTGACAGTCTATAAAACAAAAGGTATAGTTTTGAATTTTTTTGGTCACAACCTTTGCCAATTTGTTTTTATAGCTGCCAATCCATTTAAGATTAGGTGATCAACTTTTTTATAGTAAATTACTATGTGACGATCATTTTGAAGATCAAACAATCACATTTAAGCCCGCTATACTTATGCTAG